CTTAGAAATGAAGTTATCAGCTGAAAAAGTCTGGAGTTTGTGTAATGAAAGTTAGGAGTGGGGCTTTTTTTCCCCCGTTTCCTTCTGTCACAATACATTCAGAGATTAAAAGTTTACCTTGCAGACTCATCTTGACACCATTAGACATGATGTCTCTTTGCATTAGCTGCAGATGGGCTCGAGCTGTTCTAGGATATATTTCAGTCTGAATAGTTGAAATTTGGCAAAGTTATAAGCAACTAAAATCCAGATCCTTTAATGGGAGCTGTCAGTGTTCATCATAGATGTCACACCGTGCTCCTGCTGGAATGCCATGTCCAGGACCCAAGATAGTCACTGTCCCTTCTTATTTTTTGTATTATTATGAATGATATCCCAGGGGTGAGGGGGAGGGCAGCAGCCCAGGGGAGGGTTTGGGGGTTTTTAGTATAGTTTGTCATCTGGAGATGCTGATGGTTGAGAGGAGCAGGTGCTGTGCTGGGGCAGGGCACCATCCTGGCACTCCGGTGGCTGGAAGGGGGTGAGGGACCAGCCCCAGTTTTGCCTCTGATCCTGCACAAGTCCTTCTCTCTTTTCCTGGGGTTGGCTTTCTTTGTGCAAAGCCAGCTGGCGAGCCCGAATTCCCCCGTGTGGCTTGCAGCCACGTGGGGAGAAGCGAGGCGTGCGAGTTCTCCTGACGTCCCAGGGGAAGCAGCCCCTGCCTCAGCCTTCTCTGCTGAAAATAGTCTTCTGAATTTTATCTTCTGCTTCCCTGCCAGTGGGCAGTGTGGCATAGCCAGGGCTGCTTGCAGAAGGCTGGGGAGGGCAGCAAGGTTTTCTTAATATGCATGCATAAAACCTGTGTTTCCAAAGTGCATTTTTTCATCCATTCCTTTGCTAGAGCTGTGGCTGTGTCTTCACCTCTGTGTGTCCTTTGCTGCTCAGCAGGCTCTGGCTGGACTTTGGTGCTGCCAGGACATCCTCCTGCTCACCCCAGGTGGCATCCAAACCCATCTTTGGGGTCGGTCCCTCCAAGCAAACTAGACCTTCATCACCCAATGTGTATTTCTAGCCCTGTTAGACGGGGGGTGCAGACTTTGCCTTGAGCCTGGCATAGCACAGGATGGGCTTTTGGCACCCTCCTGGGTGGTGGGTCTCCTCTGGGTCACCCTTTTCTGCCTGGCTGCCTCCTTTGACATTAGGCAGGTTGCCAAATGCCCTTTTGTTGAAATAATACTCCCTTGGAGTAATTGCTGGCTCTGGCAGCCACAAGCAAAGCAAATTGATAACTGCAGTATATTTCTGAGGGCAAAAAGGAAGCACGGACAGTAATTTCTTTTAATTGCATAACACTTGGGAAATTGTTTCTGTGGCTGCTGCAATGAGCTGGTCAAAACCAACTTTGATTTTGCAAATGGAGGCCTGAAGGCTGATGGCAGAGGAGGTGCCGATGTCATGGGTGGGAGGGACATGTGCAGGAGAGGGAGGTGCCTGGACCTCCCTTGAAGCTCGACTGCCTATTGCTGAATCTGCTCCCCGTTTGGGTTAGCAGGTCACTGAGACACTGGCTGTTGCACAAAAGCTTTCACAAACCTGTGACACCTTCATGCTTCTGAAAGGAGGATTGGAAAGCAAAGCTGAGTCTCCCCTTTGCTGGAGCACGGTGCTGAGGTCTGATGCTAACCAAAGTTTGCTTCCCATGTGGGCAAAAGCTTTTAGAAAGTCAGTGGCTGATGCAGCTTCAGCTGCACTCAGACATTTCTCTACTGGAGAGGAGTGGCTGCTTCTCCACACTGAATTCTTAGGACAGTCACATTCTGCTTGGAAAACAATCACAAGTGTATTACCCACCAGTTTGCAAACAACACATCCAAGATCTCTGGCTGATGGATTTGGTTTCTGTTTGTTTCTCTGGGATTTTTTCACTAGAATTTAGTGTTAACTGGTTATTTATAAATCCAGGCGTCTCTCTGTATGTCTGATTGCTCCTGTGTGTCGTCTGATGGAGAAGTTATTGAGTCACTGTCATTTACTGGAGGGGAATGCTGCTATTTTTAATTCTGCCTCTCTTTACGGGTGGATGAATGGCAAGCTAATGGTTGTGTTGAAATTTGAATGTCAGAAAACAAGGGAGAAACTGGAGACTTGCTCGTCATATTTAACCTGCTGTGAGACATAACTCCATCCTGAGTCTTGAAACATGCCTGTACATGCCATCCATGCACATTTTATAAACCAAAGTGATCCTGGTGTCATCCTCTGTAGGAAGCAGGATAAAAGACTCAGTTTTGTTAAATAGGCTAAACGTGAATTACTTGGACAATACTTTATTTTTTCTGATTGGCCTTAATGGTGTGCTGGCTGTTGATTACCCATCTAGCAAGAGATAATTATTCAGGGAATTAGCAGAAACAACATGCTGGACTGATTGTCCTGTTAATGCTGTTTGTCGCAGTAAATAGAGTATCTTAAGGGATTGTAGGTTTATTTGCTATGAACATGAAAAATCTGCTTAACAGGAAAGTTATCTATTTGCCAAAGGTCTTTGGTAGGACAGAAGGCTCTTCAATAGGACATAAAAGATGGTTCCCAAAGAACCTTCTGCCCTCAGGGGTGAAGCTGCTGCAGGTTGGGACATCATCAGTGAGGCCCTGGCTTCCAGCCTTGCTGGGAGGATGGGGGTCTGCTGCACCATTCTGCTTGAAGCCCATGTCATACTGGCACCTGGAGAACAAAGCCTGAGGTCTTTCTCTAGGACCACCCCACAGCCATGATTGTTGCAAGGATGAGGCATCCCTCTGAGTTTCCAGGGCCAGTGCACCTCATGCTTTGTGGCCGTGGGGGATGTCCCTTGGATTGCAGCCCCTGTGCTGTCACCTGCAGACCTGTTCACATGCAGTTTGTGATGTTGGCAGGAACTGAAAGTCGTTGTCAGGCCATATGGGAACAAGCAGCCTCTTCCTGGGGCCATGGTTTGCTCCTCTGTACAGAGGGCAAGTGCTGCTGGGTGTGACTTGGCCATTTCCCATGGAATAAGTCTCTTTGCTCCCATTGTTACCAGCAGAAATATTTATAAGTGCCTTGTAAAATCAGATTTTTTTGAACTTATAGTGGCAATTTAGGGTTTATTTAGGAGATAGAAGTATGGTCTTTCCTTCCATAAGAGCCTTTTTGAGATTAAAATGTTTATATATCTCTGAAACTGGCTTGTGGCTATGTATCAAACTGATGCCCAAAACTCTTTCTCTCTTAGGTTATTACAATATGTGCATTTCAACATATTTTGTACAGATACCCCAGAAATCTAGGAAAGCTTAAAGCCATGTGAGTTATTTAACTAAAGCACAGAGAAACAAGAGGGCACCTTGGCTGCTGGAGGCAAGCTTGTTGGAAAATGATGTTTTAATTACATCGTGGTTTTTACATTTAAAAACTAATTATTCTGATCTGAAATCGGGACAACACTTCACACACACCCCAAACTACCTAAAAAGGTGGTGCTGGGGATCTTCCAGGACTGGCAGTTTTATTCAGTGTTGGGATTGAACCCAGCAGCTCTGGGAACACCCAAGGGCAGAGCTCTATGCTCCTGTTTTACCAAGACATTGAGAAACTGAAGAACTGAGCAGGAAGAAGTGCTGACAGTTTCTGTCAAACTGTTGTCTTCAGAATATCTTTACATTTATTAGTGCTTTTTTTTTTTTCTTTAGAACTACCTTGTTCAGTTCTTATTTGCTTTGCCAGCATGTGACCTGTAGCAAAACTTTTGAGGAGACCTCCTGGGCTTTGCTGGTCAGAGATGAGCATGGCTATGGCTGGGTGGGAGGGACAAGTCATGCCCCTCCTCTCAGAGATCAGCTCTGAATCCCCTCTGGAGGCACAGAAATGTATTTAAAGGAGTTCAGAAAGGTCAAATGGCAGAAGAGGAGTAAGATGGGATGGCTTTTGATACATGTTTATGCACCAGCTAATAAAACGGGGTGCTCGTTTTTTGATCTGGGCTCCGATATTCTGCAGCAGTCCAGGTGAGAATGGCACGAGGAGCAGGATTGCCCCAAGGGAAGAAGACGTGTCCCTGTTGTACCCTTCCTTGTGTCACCTGGGCTTGGGCTGTGCACGTGTCCCAGGTTGGGTGGGCTGAACCCACCACGCAGAGATTCAGCAGGGCAGCTGCTAGAGCCAGGAGGCTCCTGGTGCTGCCGGCAGAGTGGACTGAGAGGGGTCGGCAGAATTTAGGGAACACAGATGGGATAAAAGGTGGTGAGCCTGGAAGGGATCCCAGAAACGATGGGTGTTATCACAACTGTGCACAGTGTTAATGCAGAGCAGACTGCAAAACAGGAGAAACTGGGATTATTAGGCCTGGTTGGCATATGTGTTTGTAACGATTGCCCAGTGCCTGGTGTCTTGGATATGTGTCTTTAATTTAAAATAAATAACTTCTTGGTGAAGACAAACAGAGAGGGAAGAATCCAGGTACAGCGAGTCTTTCTATGCTTTCCCTTTCTGTGGGATATAAAGATCTTCTCAAAAGATTTTATTAACTTGTAAACTGTGATTTAAGGCAATTTTAAACAGCATGTGAAAGAAAAATAATGAACAAATGTTTTCAAGTGGGAGAAATCTGTCCCTGCCATATGTTTCACTGAGTCATCCCTTCTGCAGGAGGGGATCTTGCAATTGTTTCAACTGTTCCAGTCGCTAATCCTTTTTATTTAGCAGCAACATCACTGTAAACTCAGCACCCAAACCTCCAGCACGTTAGTACCACATGCTGGATGTAGCCCTGATCCCTCTAAACTTGACACGTGTTTTGCTCTGGACATAGGTTAAATGATTCTCACTGTGTCTCACCGTTGAGCAAAGACCAATCCTGGCCATGGGTTTCCACTTGCCAGCTTAGGTGACGCGATGGTCTGTGCTCACCAGGAGGTTACAGAAACCTCAGACCCAACCCCTCCTTCCTCTCCCATTTCTCTGTGGAGCCCCCGTGCTGACGGCGCCGCGTGGTTGGGTTGCAGGTGTGGCTGTGTGGTGGCAGCATGGAGGTCCTGCCCTGCTCCAGGGTGGCTCACATCGAGCGCAAGAAGAAGCCCTACAACAACAACATCGGGTTCTACACCAAGCGCAACGCCCTGCGGGTGGCCGAGGTGTGGATGGACGACTACAAGTGGCACGTCTACATTGCCTGGAACCTGCCTCTGGAGGTACAGCCTTTGCACCCTCTCCTTCACGTTGTTGGGTTAAAAACTTGAGTTATAGAGCATTTATTGCCATTTGGCAAAGGAGAGCCTTAAATACTCTAGTCATATCCACAGCTGTAGAAGTCAGCAGAGCTCCTCAGGCTTTCATGGAGGTTCTGCAAAACCTGCAGACCTTGGAGGGATTCCTACTCTTCATGTCAGCCTTTTTATTTTCGTTCCTGAAAATTGAACCTGTTTTATAGTGTTTATCTCCCTGTTGAGTGTTTACACAGCGTGAGTTTGTGTCATGACACCGCTCTGCAGATGGAGGCTGCCTGTAAAGTTGTCTGGCAGAAGATTATTAATATCAACATCATTAGTGCATGAGCTTTCTTCCTGCAGCTCAGGCAGGTCTGTGTCACATGCAGCCCAGCTCAGGTTTCCCAGCCCACAGATGCTGTCACGGCCCTGAGCTCACTCACAGTGTGTGGTCCACGTGTCTGGGTCATTTGCTTTCCCAGTGTTGGGAAGGTTGAAGCCATCAGAGCTTAGAAACCATGTTCAGAGTTAAAGGATTTGAGGTTGGTGTCTCACAGAAGGAGATCCCCTCCCAGTAGCACCACGTGCAAGTGCTCCAGAAACTCTTTAAATAGCTTAGATGATATATTTACTTCTGCACAGAAAGGGTTGGATTTTCTTAGACCTGACATGTTGTTTTGCATATGAAACCTGCCACGTCCCAGCATGGTGAATGCTTGGCAAACCCTGGGGTCCCGCCAGCAAGACGAGCTGCCCATGCCCAGGGGACACATCCTGCACATAGACCTCTCTAGGTGATGCCCTGCACTTGTGCACAAAGCTCTGTAGGCTCCAAGAGGACTTTATGTAGGTCCAAGGCTAGTGCTTGGGCTCCAGTCTCCATGTCTAATCATGTAACCCAAGAGCATCTCCTGCCTGCTGGCTCTGAACGTTGCCTGGAGCATGCTGGGAGCATCCTTGGCTGGGCCAGTCCAAATTCCTGTGTCTCGTCCTGTCAGAGGAAGAGGAGAGGGTGGCAGGGAGGGGGGGGCAGTGCTGTTCTCCAGGTGATGGGTGGGATGAGGGTTTGGGGTGCCCTGCAGAGCCCCTGACACCCGCTCCACTTGCAGCACACTTAAGCACAAGAGCTGGCTTGCTCTGTTCAAGCGTGAAATAAAACCATTGCCACAAGTGGCCAGGCCTCACGTGAGCAGATATTTACAGGCATCCTTTTGGTCCTAAAAATAAAGAGGAAATATTCATGCTTTGCAGCTCCCACCCCTGCAAAGAGCGGCTGCGGTCCTGATCCTGCCGCAGCAGCATCCTCAGCTGGCAGTGCTGTGCTCCCAGGCATTTGGAGAAACATGAAAACATCAAACCCCGAGCTGCTGCTGCTGCTTTCCGAGGAAAGGTTACAGCTGGGGAGAGGTTCTGGCATTTAGAGCCGCAGTAGTCACAACTTTGTACTGCATTAGAGAACAACAGGTGCCTGGGAAGGGTCGATGGAACTGCCTTAGCTGCTGGTTTGTCATCCTGGGGGTGCTGGGGAGTCTCAGGTCAGTTCATTACTGAATAGAGATGGAAAGAATTGCTGTTTACCCAGCAAGCTGCAGGAGGGTGCTGGCTGTGACAGGCACTGCTCCAAGCCTTCAGAGAGCTGCCTGCAGGACTGAGAGATTTCAGGTAGCTCTTAAATATTGGTTGCAAGATCCAAAAGCCCATAGGCAGAGGTCAAAAATTACAGTGGGTTCAGGCCCAGTCCCTGAGCTGATGCCGTTTTTAGAGGTGTGGCACCATGCTCCTGCTCAGGAACAGCTTTGGAGAGCAGCAAAAAGAGGTTGAACTTCATTGGGAAGCTGCAGGTCCTGGTCACGTGAATCAGCACTGGGCTGGGTCTGGGGAAACAGATCTGGGTTACCCTAAAAACCATTTGAGATTTTTATGTAGGTCTTAGCAGTAAAATCAAGGTTTAATTTTAGAGAAGCCTTGTTTGGCAGGTGGCATTGTGCAGGGGGTTATGGATATACACTGAATTATTTTCTGATGCCACCATATTCAAAACGAAGCCAAACCCCCTGCACTGAGTGTTTCAGGTGCTGACTGGTTTGTGGTCCCACTTTGCTCTGTGTCCCATCTCGCCCACTCAGATCTCAGCTTGTCCTACCTGTCTACACTGAATCATCTTTATTTTAACATATGAACATTAAAATGCTCATAGTCAGGCATTAAAACGGTGTCTTCTCCAAAGCAGAGTGAATAATTCATTAGAAGATCATTACAAGCACTGTAATGGAAAATTGCTTTCCAAGCTGTATTTAGTGATCACTGCAAAAGATGAGAGCAGGAGCTGAAGTAAAGTAGAAACCCCAACACCTGTAGGAAGGGAGTAGAAGGGGCTGCAGTGTGCCTTTGGTTTCCTTCACCTGGCTGCTGCATTAGTTCCCCAAATTCTGTAATGGAATAAAAGTTAAGAGGGGGCAGTCCTCTCCAGCCCTGCTCCTGGCTCCTGGGAGATTGTTCCTCCAGGGACAGAGACTGTGGCTTCATCTGCTTTTAAATCAGCTCAAGCAGTGGGGTTCCTCTGTGTCTCCAGGGAGACTATTTCACTGTCTAATTGTCCAAATTGTCAAGAGGCTTTTATGAGGTTCAGCCTCAACTTCTCTTCTCCTGTAATTTCTATTCTTTATTCTTGGCCATCTGGCTCTGTTATGTGTGAATCTTACACCTCTTCCCTCTTCCCTCTTCCCTCTTCCCTCTTCCCTCTTCCCTCTTCCCTCTTCCCTCTTCCCTCTTCCCTCTTCCCTCTTCCCTCTTCCCTTCCCTACCCTTTCTCTCCTTATTTTATACCTCTGTGTTGCATCTCAGTAGGGTTACACCCCCTTGGTGAGTAAGGGGAAGGGTCTTGGTGCTCAGTGCACAGACAGGGGTTTGCATTTCCAGGATTCAGCATGTGCCCATCTTTTAAATCCTGATGTACATTTGGTGTTAAGCTCTTCTGGAAGTCCTGTAGATCAATGCCCAAAAGGGAGGTGAGATCTTTTAAAACTACTTTGTGCCTGTGCTCATTGACAGATCCAGTCTTCCTCAGATGGATCCAAAGCCCAGGGCAATTGGTGAGCAGGTTCACCTCTGTCACAGTGCACTTCTCATATTTCCTTCAGAAACTTTTCTTCTCCATTTTGGTTCTCTTGTCTAAATTGCCTCCCAGGACCAAAGCATGTCCAGCATCAGTCTGGTGGCCATTGCAAGGATGCCTTCAAAACCTGCAGGAGAAGTACATGTCTTCCTCTTGTTATGGCTCTGAAACCAAAGACTTCCCTCTGACTTCTGTGAGGATGATTTCAGCCCTGGACACACAGGGTGGAATTCCCTGGCATGGACTCTGTGTAGAGTTACTCAGCTGTTGGCAGTTTCCAGGAGGCTTGGGAGTGACAGCAAACAGCAGTGAAATACACTCTCTTAATTGGGGTTTTTAAGAGTATCCATTCAGTGACGTGCTGTGTCTTTATTTTTCAGAATCCAGGTATTGACATTGGGGACGTTTCTGAGAGAAAAGCATTAAGGAAGAGCTTGAAATGCAAAAACTTCCAGTGGTACCTGGACCACGTTTACCCAGAAATGAGAAGATACAACAACACCATTGCTTATGGCGAGGTAATTAAGGCTGAGCAGTCCTTAGATCAGACTGGTAATATTTACAGCTGGTGAGTCTCTGATGAAAAATAGCCTCAAAGGAGAGGAATGTGAATCAAAACCTGCTATTTGTGTATAATTGTCTACTTTTGTATAAATCTGGTCACAGTTTCATCTATAAACCTACTTGGGGATTTATTTCTGATCTTGGAGACCATATACAGGAAAATATTTTAATACCTTATTTACTGAATTGACAGAAAATTATCTATATTACCCATTGAATCCAGGTATTAAGTGGCTGTATGTATATTTTTAACACACAGTTGTCTTATAAAACCCTGTGACTTAAACTCAGCCTAATTCCTTACAAGATCTCTGTAGGATACAGTGTGTTGTCACAACAGCTTATGGACGAGATGAAGTAAGGAGACTTAATTCAATCTCTGCTGCCTTTGAGACTGTACTGGGAATATAAAAATAGGCATTTATGGGAACTAATAATACTCAGTTGCAATAGGTCTCATGGAATAGTGGCAGTTTGAGGAGGCTTCTGGAAGCACAGCCTGAGCACCCCTGACGGGGATTAATTTTAAGAAAGATTTATTATCAAAGTTACTTAATGCCTTCAAGCTAAAGCCTCCCCAAAGTAGTATTTTCAAAGGCATTATTGCAGTTGCCCTGAGTGGGGAGCCTGGAGAGAGGAGAGCTCTGTGTTAACAGTTCTGGTGGCTGGGGTTCAGTGGTCCTTTGGCTTTGTGACGTGGTGGGTTTACCATCTCTGCATCTCCTCCTGCATCCCTGTGGAGATTTGAAGGGGCTCCTTGTGCTAGCTGGACTTTTTCCTCTGCCTTGTTGAGCACCTTGGGACTCCAGTGAAATACAAACCTTTCTGCATTGATTACAGGCTCCTGGCAACATGCTGATGGCAGTCTAAAAATACGTTTGTTACCACCACACATGACCAAATACAAAGAAAACTGTGTTCAAGGAAGCTGGCTCCTTTGAATGGTGATTATTACATAGAAGCAATCATCATTAGGCCCTGTATTTAAAGAAAACATATGGCCCACTAATCCTTTCCCTGCCTGCTTACGCCTGCTGCTCTAGCACTGTATATCCTTTCTGTTGCTGGGTGTCACTTTATCGCTTACCCCCAAGGAGGCAGAGCCATCTAACTGCACTTTTCTTGTTTCTTACAGCTTCGAAACAACAAGGCCAAGGATGTCTGCCTGGACCAGGGCCCCCAGGAGAACCACACGGCCATACTGTACCCGTGCCACGGCTGGGGCCCGCAGGTGAGGAGCTGCTCGTGCTGCTGGCACCACGCCGTGCCCAGCAGAGCCCAAGTGTGGGTGTGCAGCTTCTCTGCTGGCTTCTCTCTCAAATCTATATTGGTAAAAAAAAACAAACAAACCCTCAGATGTGAAGGTGTGTTTTCCCAGCTGCTTTTTTTGAGTAGCTATTTTCTGGATTACCGTAATCGCGCCGGTGCTGCAAGGAAAAGGGTGATTTGAAAAACTCTTCCAGATGAGGGTAAATTATGCTAAAAGCAGAGTCAGTGAGCAGAGCAGCACGTACACAAGCAGAGCATTTCACCCAGCAGAGTAAAAACCTACCAACTGAGGAAAGAAAACAAACCGTGCTTCTTAATGGGATGATAATTTGCCATTTCAGCTTGCCTGGGAGGTACCATAGCCTTAGTTTTCTCGCACTCCTTTTTCTACTCCAGTAGTTTTAGAGCAACCCAAAAGTTTCTTGTCCTAATTTGAAGCTTCATCTAGATTAAAAAAAAAAAAAAAGCATCATTCCAAGATTCACTGTAGATCGTATCTCTTTTAGAGGATTAATGGGTGTGTCAAATACTGGAAGTCAGTGATGATGCACTAACACAGCCTCTGCTGTAGTTTTATCTCTGTGTTTTAAGGAGAGAGCAGCATGGGAAGGCTGCTGGTTTGATTGCCACAGGGGTGGAACAAAATGGGGTACAACACTAGCTCTGTCCCTGCTGCCTTCTGTTAAACCAACAGGAGCCTCTAAGCTGGACTTGGAGCATCTGCAGCCCCAGGGATAATTCACCCAGTTCCCCACTGACTTTTCCTGTCTGCTTTCCTTTTATCTCTGCCCATAGCCTCACTTCAGTCTTTTGCTTAAATCCTGTGATTTTCTTTGTGCTGTTCTTTCCGTATGCCTAGTGGTCATCACCTCATCATGCAAATCCCTGAGCACAGTGTCCTTCTCCCCCACAGTCTTTAAGGAGAAAATGATTAAAAAATGTTGAATACCCCACTATTGAATTACCTGTGTGAATACCAGAGATAAGTAAACTCAAACTTGAAAACAGAACTTTCTTCAATCCCTTGGGCATTGCTGATGATGTCAATCTAACTCCTTCACATTGCTCATGCAGCCCCTGTGTGGGAGGAGGTCTTTACAAGGGAGGGAAGTGTCCCAATTTCTGCTTTTTACTTGGGGAAACACATATTAGAGTTTACAGCAAAATCTTACAGCCATTCCCTAGGGTGTGGGAACATGTGATCCCATTCCCAGTAGATTTCCTGAGATAAAATCTGACTTTTTTTTGTCATGTCTTGAGGATTAGCTCATCAAATCTGGGTGAAAAACTAGAACTTTAATCAAGGCTTAACAATAGAAGGGTGTCAGTTATCTGTTCTAACATGGGCCTCAAATACAACTTACACACCTATCTTCTAATTTTCCACCTGCAAAATGAGCCTCATTGGCACCAAGAGGAATTGAAGATTGAGATGGAGCCCAATAGGGATGTGGAGCTGTAGGACACTGCAGCTGTGGCAGCCTTAGTGAGAACCTGGGCTCCAGGATGCTCAAGGAGGTTCATTTTCAGCTAAAAAAAATGTATAGTTCAAGTGATGGGGATGAGCCAAGAGCCTGTTGTTCTCACAGTATGGTCACTCTGGGCTTTCCAGGCTAGCCAGGACTAAGCAATCCCAAAGCTCATCTAAGCCTGACCTGCAAACTTCAGGAGCCACCTGAGCCTAGGAACCAGACTCCGGAGCCTTCAGGGTGGAGACAAATCTCACTGTGGTTTATTCTTGCCTTTAAACAAAACCCAGTCAAGTGTGGCTGATGGAGTCACTGCTCAATATAACCTAGCTGTTGCTTAAATGCACACCATTTTTTTCTTAAATGGCCCAAACTGTCTTTTGGGCTCTGTGGATGGAAACTTAAACCTCTAAGTGCATTATGGTATGAGAAACTGAATTAGCCTGGCTTTGTCTGCTAAGCCTAGGCTTTAAGATGAATGACTGAAAGCAGGTTATTTATTTCTCCCTTAGCTGTTATTGTGATCAAATTTAACGAATTTTCTTTTCCTACCTGATGCTCTGCAGCTCCCTTCAGCTCACCTGTCACACAAACTCAGCTCAGATTCTTCCTCTTGGTCTTCCACCTCCACATTGTCCCTCCTGTCTCCAGCTGAGAGCCACTTCTTGGCAGTTCTTTTGTTTTGTGATACGGGCAATTAGTTTAACTCCTTGAAAATGCTTTTTAAAAGTAGCTATCAGCGAGTGCAGGAGCTTTGAAATTAGCCTTTTGCAGAAGCACAGGCACCACACAAAAGAAATTGGTCTTTTGCTACTACTGTTTAATTAATGGGCTGCGTGTTGTAATTTATTGCTGGGAATATAATTAGAAGCAATGTAAACACTTTGTTCAAATACCTCACTTGTTTTATAGATATATTTATAAAAAAAAAATAACCAAGGAGTTGGAGTTCCTTTTGAGCTGATCAGCCTCAGAAAGCACACACTGAGTCTGTGCTCAGTGCTGGGGTAGTCTCCTGAACTCTCTGCTGCTCTCTGATGCTGTGACCAGCCACACTCATCTCAGTGTATTTCACAGTTAGGCAGCAGGTTCCTTGGCTGCAGTGAGCCAGGGAAGGGCTGGGCTCCCTGCTGGGGTTTCACTTCTGCAAGGACAGTGGTGTCACAGGTCCTGTTCCCTGCCACGAGGGGTAATGATGGGTTTGGGGTTTTTTTTAAGTCTGCATTCTGGCCAGGTCCATGCCCAGACCTTGCTGCTGTCCACTGTGGCTGCTGCATCTGTAAATGAGCAGCCCAAGGCAGAGAGTTGTCTGTATGACTTGTCCTCTTCAGTTTGTCCTGTGATTCACAGGATGATGGGGGTTGGAAGGGACCTCTGGAGACCATCTCATCCAACCCCTCTGCTCCAGCAGTGTCACCCAGAGCAGGTTGTCCAGGATGGTGTCCAGGCAGGTTTGGGATCTCTCCAGAGCAGGAGACTCCACAGCCTTTCTGGGCAGCTGCTCCAGGTTGGGGTACCCTCAGAGCAAAGAAGTTTCTCCTTCTGTTCAGATGGAACCTCCTGGGTTCCAGTTTGTGCCAGTTGCCACTGTGGCATGACTGACAAGAGTCTGGCCCCATCCTCTTTCTCAGCCTTTCCTTGTCACAGAGATGCATTGACTAGATCCCCTCACAGTCTTCTCCAGGCTAAACAGCCCCAGGGCTCTCAGCCTTTCCTTGTCACAGAGATGCTGCAGTCCCATCAGCATCTTCACAGCCTCTGCTGGGCTCTCTCCAGTAGTTCCTTGTCTCTCTTGAGCTGGGGAGCCCAGAACCAGACACAGTCCTCCAGAGGTGGCCTCACTAGGGCAGAGTAAAGGGGGAGGAGAACCTCCCTCAACCTGCTCACACACTTGAGAGTGCACCCCAGGACACCACTGGCCTGCTTGGCCATGAGGACACATTACTGGCTCATGGTGAACCATATTAATTATATATCAACTACATATTATAACTGTATTCTCTCCTGAGTTCCTGCTCTCTTCAGATGACTCTAATTGGTTTAAGCCATGCATGTGGCATTCAGATGGATGGAGCTGGCTGTGATGGGTCCCATACCTAGTGCTGAACATGGGTGAGATCTTGGCTTTCATGGAACCTCTGTTGTAGCATCTCTTAATGGGAAAAAAATTTTGTTTCTTCTCTTGTTTCCCCTTCAGCTTTCCATTCTCCCTGTTTTCATTCACTTCCAGGTCAAATCATTATCAGATTTCATGATGAAGTATCCTTTTATCCTGTAATTATATTGAGCCTACTCGTAGGTTTTTTTCTTCCTGATGGCTTCATCTTTTAAGCAATACATCATGAAAACACCTTGCTGTAATGATGTATTACACTAATAATACAGTAATACCTCATTGGAGTGACAGAGCTATGGTGATATATTAAGGTGATAGAAAGCACTATAATACTATAAAACTTAAGATAATGTTCACCCAGCAGAGCATTTCATTTAATTATAGGATAAAATATGTTTTGCCCATTTAAGCATCAGAACTTGAGGACAAAGCCATCAATACTGAGATCATCCGGGACACGGAAGTATCAAGGGTGACAAAATAGCACATCAGATGAAATTGTGTTAAAAAGAAAATACTGGAGACTTTCCTTGTGGTTGCTAATTGATGATCTGCTCAGTGCAGAAAGGAAGCTAAACAACCCTAAATTATTTTCCAATCGAGTCAATGGAGGTCATCAAGGCTTTTATTTCCCGGGTGCTAAGATGTCTAATTAACTTTCTCCCATCCCTGAGATGCAGCCAGCCAGAAACAGCAATCAAAGAAGATGTATTGGTGGTGCTGGTTTGCCAACAGGAGATGAGCCCGAGTGATGTAGTGGGCAGGACTGTGGCCATGGACCCTTCTGCTCTCCCAGCATCAATGGGGGCTGGGGGTCCCCCCAGATGGTCCCTGAAGGTGGGGGACCTTGCAGGGAGCAGTCTTCACCCAGGCTGCAGTTTTACCTGGAAGGGTGTTTGTGGGAGGCTGTGGGTATGAATCAGAGTTCCTCTCTGGGGATGCAGCTTTAGGCCACTCATTGATTAAGAGATTTAAAGCCTCATCAATGTTAATCACTTTTAAATGGTTAGCTTGTTAATATTTTTATACCCTTTTTCTCTGGTCCTTTCTCCTTTGTTTCATATCCTGGCTGGGTCGTTCCTTCAAGTGTTTCCTCAGGCTGGTACCTCCACGTTTGCCTTTTTCCTGCTGGCTTGGTCTGCCTTCTGGAGGCTGAGGAACCTGCTTTGGCAGGCTAGGAGACATGGGACAGATCACTTTAAAGGACAGATATATTGAGGGGGCAAGAGAGCAGAATTTAAACTCTGATGCCTTCAATGAGTTGCCTTTCTACAAAGCCAGGAAAACATCATTTTGTTGCATGAAATCTCACTGGATGGAACATGGGCTGTCAATTTCCTGTGACTGGACTGCAAAACCTCCTTTTTTATCAAGGAAATAATTTCCTTTGAAAAAAGACACATTTTTATCATCTTTAAGCACCATGATGACCATGTGAGGAAATCATTGGTAACTGCAAAGCAGCCACTGAATCTCCAAGGGAGCAGCTTTGTTCAGATGCTTGCTAATGTAGGGAACATTTTTGGGGTGATCAGCAGTGAAAGAATGAAGAACAGGAGGGACAATCCTTAGGAAACTAGACCTGCTTCACTGCAGGACTCCCATTTTACCCTTGTGGTTGAGAACCCTGACTGGCTCTGGAGAGGAGGGAAAGAACAACAGAAGAATGAAGATGTCGAAGGTGAAATATTCCAGAAGAAAAAAAACCCCACATGAATATCTTAGGAGTGTGGTGGAGCTGGATGGGAATCTGGGGGAATAATCACTCTCAGGTTTGATGGTTGCACAGGCCTGAAGGCTGCCATGGCTGTTGGGAGCCTCCCCTGTGCTCAGCAGAGTAGATCAGGCATTGGGCAATGTGCTAGGTGCAGATGAGTGTTGGGGCTTTTTTTATCTGGCTATTAGACACAGTAGATGATACATCTAATGCATGCTCTTAATGTTTTTGTCATAATATCTGTGTTTGTTTTTTTCAGCTTGTTTTGTCCTCCTGCAGCTCCTGCCCCACTCCCTTCCTTGAGAGAGGTTTGATTTTTGCTCACTTCTTTTTCCCAGCACGTTAGGTGATACCATGTAAGAACAGAAATCACGTTGCCCTGTGGGCATTAGGCCAACTGTCTGCAGACAAGCTGCCAAACATCATAAAGGAAGTGTCTAGTACACTAATTAAGTACATGGAGGGAAGTATTTTGGAAACAGGAGAAGGAGATTTGCACTACCCATTTGGGACCTCTGGATGATTTCTTGCATCTGTCATGGAGAGGGCTTGTCTCTTTTTGTCTTGTCCTTTTTATACCTCTTTCTTTTTGCAAGACAAGCAGCTGCATCCTTCTGTGTTGGTGCTGGAAGACTAATTCAGATGAGTTGTGTAGCTAAAAACATGCTGTCAGGCTGAGAGCACCATCACACTTGAGCCTTGGCTCATGGAAACAGAATCACAGAGGCGTGGAATGGTTTTGGTTGAAAGAGACCTTGAGGATCATCCAGGAGGTGGGAATGAGGTGGGGGTCAGTCTCTTCTCTCAGGGAAGAAGTGAAAGAATAAGAGGAAATGACCTCACATTGTGCCAGAGGAGGTTTAGGTTGGATATTAGGAACAATCTCTTCCCCCAAAGGGTTGTCAAGGCCCAGGGCAGTGGTGGAGTCCCCATCCCTGGAGGGGTTTCCAAGCTATGGTGATGTGGTGCTGAGGGACACGGGGCAGTGGGGACCTGGCAGTGCTGGGGGAACAGTTGGACCTGATGATCTTAAAGGTGTTTTTGACCCTAAATGGTTGTGTCATTGTGTGTGGGCTGCCCTGCATGCAGACACCCCTCT